GAAAACAAGAGGTAAATCGTAGAAAATGTGAGGGTAGGTGTGAGTGTAGAATAAATTAAAAATATGACCCACACCCACATCCTTTACTTGATTAACTTTGCATTCAATGAACCGACGTTTTTAAACTCAGGTTTCTTGTGCTGATTACGAATCTGAAGTCATATTTCTGATTTCGATGAACGTAAAATATGTATCTTCTTGATCAGCGATTCGAATTGATAGAAATGTCCCCGACCCTCCAACATTTGTGCCATGGATAAACTTTTTTCGCTGGTGTTTTTCTATTTTGAAGTAATACCTTATACGATACAAAATTTCAAGAGCTTTCAGAAAATATATAAATCATTTTGGGACAGCATGATCCAGTGTGACTAGGGTCAATATTCTAGAAAATGTTCATTTTAGCCAATAGTCATTTTTGCTCGTATATTGGAATTATCACTTGGTGAATGGTATTGCAGGATATACCGAATTATCCAATTTTGTAGAGAAAACATTTCTGCATCTTTTAAAACGTCTCCGAACTCGAACAAATGTTTAGACGCAGAAAAAATTGCGATTTGTTTTTTTAACCAAGTTCCGAGGGGTGTGTCACTTTTATGCTTTGGTATTTTTCACAGAAAAGTCAGAAAGAGCTAATATTTTGAATTTAAAGTATTCTAATGATGATCTATTGTTTGAGATAATTAAATCGAAAATCAAAATTTTAGTGGCGGTCAGTCTCATACAAAGTTGGTAGGTCCTCTCGTGAACCCTCTCTTGATAGATTTTATTCATTTTATGATTGAGAAATTCATAATTGTCAATTTCCACAGATAAATATTTGAATTGATTTCATGATAATATGAATTGAAGATCAACTTGGTATGATCGCTTTCATAGTTCAACATCAACTATGATGAACGAAATCAAAGTTTATTATTAATCTTTCACAATGTATTTCAGCGGAATTATGTATGAAAAAGAAGCAATTATGAATAATAGAAGAAATACTTCAAATGAATTTTTCACAATTAACCGCACAAAATAGAACAACATTAGTTCATAGTAGGTTAATGAAAGAAAAAGAAACGAAGAAAACATTTATTCATTGTTTTTTTCAGATGAAGCTTTATTTGAAGTAGCATAGAAACTTTGGACAAGATTCATTTAATGTGAATTAGAAATAACAGATAAAATTTAGCAAGAAATTCTACATGTTGCTTCAGTAATCTTTTGAAATTAAAATGAATTTTGAGAGATTATCTTCATCAACTTCGGTTAACAAAAGTAAAACGTGAACTAGTTAAATTAGATCGATCAATAATTCTTGTAAAAAGAAATTGTTCTCCATCCAAAAAAAATTCAATCATTTTTCTTTTTGTTTACTTAAACGATGCTTTATCTTTAGTCTTTGTTCATGTTTCAAATGTTCAAGAAAATCTTGATGATGAGTATCATCGATTAGTACAAGTGGAAAAATCTTAATCTTGTTTTTTTTATTAAAAACTTTTTCTTGTTTCTTCTAAAGAATTCCAAAATTTTTGTGTGAAGAATGACTTACTATTCAACATGATTTATGACGTGAACGTGGTTTATGAGACTTTCATGAACTCAATTTTATCGAAGAACTACATCGGATGCGTCAACGAATCATACTTAATGAAGATTTCTATGAATATTATCTATATCGTATTCCATTGGAACAAACGGTTAGGAAAATATCTGAAAATATTCTGATTATAAAAGATATTTCAGTCTGCAATGAGAGGATTAACAAGCATCCTCTCCTCAAAAACTCAACTTCTGTGTAGTACATTGCATTTGAACGATACTTTCTACATATGTTCGATCCGTGGAAATACATAAATAAAAAAAAGTCAGTCAACTTCAATGTTTACTGTTCAGAAGTTCTCTGGATTTCCATATACAAGCTTTTTTCAGTGTACTTCAATGTATAGACTTTGAGCTAGTTTATTTCGAAGAGACTTCTTTACTACTACAGATGTGAGAAACGGATTTTTGAAAGTTTTCTTTATTTGATTTTTGGAACATGCAAACCTAAAAGAATCTTCGAATCCTATACCACGTTCTTTTTAGAAAAGCTGAGCTCTCACTACCTCATCTGATGTACTATGTATGTACTTATTGATGAGAAAAAAAAGCACAACTCTCGAAAATAATGTATATTGAAAAAAAAAGGATTTATCCGTAGATCGATCATTTTCATAAAAATCACCTTGGAGAAAAGCACAAAAGAAGATTTTTTTTAGTATAATATTACTTAAGATCGAGATGAAGCGTAAATCTATCACATGTCAATGGAAGTGCTTATCGATTTACATTGGATTATCACTCTACGGCATAGGTCACAGGATATAAGACTATTTCTACAGCTGAAGAACCTAATTAAAATAGAAGAGTAATTAATAAGAGATAACCGTACAAATCATTTCTTAAAGCCTGAAAAACTATCGAAAATCAGGGTGTGGATGTGGTTCTTTCTTACACCCACACCCTACACCCCAGCCACAGTCACTCACACCCACACTCCCTCTATCTAGATCACATATTACAACCAAAATCTCATCGAGATAATAGACCGTTATCACGCTTAAAGAAATGATTGATTTCAAAAATAAATTCGTCGTATACAATATCGAAGAAAAAGACGTCCCCATATCATCTCCTTCGACTGGTGAAAACCGCAGGTCTCTAACTGTTTTTGTTCTTGAGTTATTCAACAAACAGTTACACACACGGACTTTCTGGACAGACTATAATATAGATTCAGATTCATAATCATACTGCAACAACAGTTGTATAAAAAAATTTATTATAATTATTTGTTTTGCTTTCAAATAAGTAAAAGATATACGAGCGGAATAATCTGAAAAGAATACATTCCATGAACTGTAAATAGTTGAAAATAAATAAGCGAACTATATCTGAAACAGGTGTAAAACGTATACATACACTGAAATTTCTATCTATGAAGATATGAATGAATGATTATGGTTCTATCCGATTACACACTTACATGCACATCCGTAAATATAACTGACGATGACTATCTAAGCCATAGTCGAAACGTGTCATATAATGCTTTGAATCTTTACTCTATAACCATACTCACACTCATAATAATTATAGCAATAATTTCAATTACTTCAACATGAAGTCGATTGCTGAAAAATAAAAGTTGAAATTAGTTTGTAAACATTGTTCAAAGTATTAAATGATTAGGTAGAAACACGTGTCATCAATGCATATTTTCTCACACCTACACCGCAAATGTTGAATCAAAATCTATAGATAGAAAATTATTGATGTCTCTTTCTCTCCCTCCGAATATATATTTATATGTAAATACTTTTTCTTGTCATGTATTAAACAAACATACTAAAAAAAACCAACAACAACAGAAAAAAAATTGCAACATATTTATATATCATTCTAAGCTTTGAATTGTTTAGTTTTTTGATAAGTACTAAACATTAATTGTGATTTAGCTGATGCTAAACGTTTTTCTAAATTTTCAATATCTTTTTCAAGTTCTTTTTCTTCATCATAATTATTTGATAGAATCGTATGTAATGGACTATTAGTTGAATTAAGAACTAGAATAACACAAAAAACAAAATAATTAAAAATTAAATCATAATTCTATTATAAAGATATTAATCACATACAATCATTATGATCAAGATTTTTATTTTTATCCATAAGTAAAAATGCTTTTGTCATAGCTAATTCAAGTTTAAGTTCATTTTGACGATGTTTTAATTCGGATAAACGTTGTTGATGATGAGATTTATCAGGAATCTAATTAAGCAAAAGAAAAATACATCAAGAAATATATTTCATTTTATGAAATTCTTACTATTGGACTATTCCATAAGGCATTATTATTCAACCGTCGATCTACAAAAACAAAAATTCAAAAAATTAAAGTTTAAGCTTCTCTACAGATCATCTATCTGAAATAAATATAATATATCACGAAAAATGAATCAGATAAAAGTCAATTAGCAAGTTTTTTTTACACGATTAAAGTTCTTTAAGGGGACTCCCCCCTTTCCGAGGTTTCTCGAGAACGGCTGATCTCAATGAGTAGAGCAAAAGTTGTTATAGATTCAGAATTCAAAAATCCTGCCTTCTCAGAGATATTTGCGACCCAAGGGCGAAAAATGACCTGAAGTTCCCCCCCCCCCCCCGCAAACTCTTATACTTCATTGTTTAGGACTGAAATTTTTTCTGCAGAAACTAAGAACAAATTGAGGTGTGTCTTTTTTTTTTCTTTGGAAAATATCGTTCCTGAGGGTCAGGAGAACCAAATTACTGACGTTACCATCAAAAAATACGGTTTTTTCATTTTTTATCTTATAGTGCCAATTGTGTGGTAACTAGTAAAATTCCTTAGGAAGAATATTTTCGATAGAAAAAAAAGACACACCCCAATTTGTTCAAAATATTCACAGTAAAAATTTGAGCTCGATTGCTTGGAGTGAGAGAGGAGAAAACTTCGTTTAGTTGCTGAAAAAACTGATTTTGAGAAAAACGCAAAGAAAATTTGTGTTTTTTGGTTTTTTCAGCATATTTTGTGATTTTTTTATATATAAGATGTGGGTTTTCAGTTCTCAAAGTGTGCTTAATCGATAGAGAACATTTAAATCTAGCTATTAATCACGAAAAATGTGAAAATTTTGAGTCGGGAAAGGGAGAGGGGTCCCCTTAAGTAATAACATATACTTCTTCACATTTCTATTTATCTCACAGCGATTCTGTTGAAAATTTTTAATAATCGGAATGATATTTTATGACCAACCCTGTAGTTAACTCGAAACAAGAATGCTCCTAGGTAGGAGAGAATGGGTTTACTTCGTAATCTTAAAAACATTTTTCGTCTTTCTCTAGCAGAGTTTGCCTTCCAATCCTAACGATCTCGTGATATTGTCGATTGTGAAGAATTTCATTTGTAAAATTTTCTTCGAATTACCTTTTCGTATTGATTTATTTCGTGTTTTAATTGAATTATTTTCATTGTTAATATTTGATGGTATTGATGCAATCATTTCTTCTAATATTGTATTACTCATTGATTCATAACCACTTGAACTAGTACGTCCAGATGTGGATGAAGCTGTACTACTTGTTGTTAATGGCATTAGATCATCATGAGAATCTAATGTTACTGTTAATGGTGATATTAAGGGTGATGATGGTGGAGATTGAATAACAATTGATTGTTGAGGATTTGATGATAATGAACGTAAACCAAATAAACGTTGAAATAACGATGGACGAGAATTTGTTTCAGCTAAACTTGTTGTACGTATAGGTACTTGAGGTTTTTTTATTGATTGTAATAAATGATTTGATATTTTTGAATGTCGATTTTTTGAAATAATTAAAGGTGAATTAGGTACAGATGGATGATAATTTTCTGATGATAAAATTTTATCAAAACGTGTTGGTGAAACAATTCTTGATAAACGTTTATTTTTTTCATCATTTGACATTGTTAATGATAATTGATCCATACGATTTAATGATTTACTCATAATTGATTCACGTTCAATTTCATTTGAATTAATTGATGATGGTATTAATAATGTTTCTAATGTTTTTTCTAATATTTCTAAATCATTATTTAATTGATTTGTACTTAATTTTAAATTCATTTTTGATGATTCATTTATATTAATTGGTTTTATATTTGATGATGATGATGATGTTTGATTAGAACGAAATGGAAGTAATAAATGATCTTTAAATACTGGTAAAACAGGTAAATGACAATGTGAACTAATAATAGATTCAGTTTCAAATGTATTTGATGATATAGATTCATCAATATCATTATGTGCATATAGTGATAATGTATGTTTTGGTGAAAGTATAGTAGGATATTTAGCTTTTGTACACATTAATTTTGAACGATGTTTTGGTGTTGATCTTAGATGAGAAATTTTTGGTGAACGAGGAGAAAATTCACGTGGACCATCAATCCATATTTCATTTTTATGATTGGAAGAAGAACTTAATGGACCATCAACCCATATTTCTTCATTAGGATGATTTATTACCGTATCAATGGAAGAAGAATCACGAGACATCTGAAAAGAATATTTATTCATAATAGACATCTTACAGATTTCTATTCACAAAAATTGTTTATCTAATTTTTATTATTTTCAAAAATATATTATTAATTCAATGAGTTTATCTCTATAGACATTCGAAGTTGAGTTATAATTGTTTTACTGAATTTTCGATTCCGTTTTATTTTGACTAAAACTCTCAGGATATTTTATGAATGATTACATCTCTTTATGGGCAAAATTTCAAGTCGAAATTCTGCTTTTGAATGTTTCGTTATTTACGTCGAAAATTCAATAAAACTATAAGAACTTCTAATAAACATGTTACTCAGAATGTGTTTATTTATTACGTTCAAATGTTGAAAAAATGAAGCTGAATAATATAAAAATAAAAATCTCAAGATTCAACTTAAGAATAATATTTCTTTAGAGTTTGCAACAGAAAAGTCTCACTAGAACCAAGATGTAGATATTTTTCATCTAATCTCAAAACATTGTTTTTTTTATCGAAATTTACCCTTCATATCAAAACTTAGCAAAGAACTTGAAGGATTGGTACTCGTATTCAAGATCGTAGATATGTATTCTTTATATAGCATAGATCGAAGAAGTCGATGAGTTTTATTTAAATAATATCGAAAAAGTTTCTTCTAATAATAATTCAAAAATTTTGCTTTTAACGTGATGCACTATCAATGTAAGCGACATCGGTTTCTATAGAGAGAATTTTCTTTCAAAGTTTAGTTTTGTAATACACTCATACAGAATTTCACTAACTGCTTAGTTCTGGTGAATTTTTGTTATAAATCATTTCGCACAATAAAATATTTCGAGTCTTCTATAATATCAAAGAAGAGATTTATTTACTTGAAACTCACTATTAAAAATAACAATACTTTCTCAAGTAACTCATCCTTGAATACATATGTGCTGATATAGAATGTATACTTGTCCAACTGTGCTTCATATGAAAAACAAGCTAAACAGTATCAATAATCCGATCTCGAAAAATATCTCTCTCTCTCTTGCTATTAAAATAAGTAATCAAATTGTTCCTTTCATATAAACTACTTTGATATATATATATATACTCAAATATCAACCCTTAAGCATTATATTATCTAACAAATATTCTTTTACCTTTAAACGATTTCTTTTTGTTTTAAATAATCGTTGAATTTTTGTCCAATATTTTAATTGTTTATCATTTTTAATAGTTGCTAATATATATAAAAAATGTTCATCAATATTGATAACATATTCATTTAAGATTGATGTTAAAGAGAATAATGATTGTTCATGATTATTGCGTTTACTATTATACAAAACAAAAAAATAGTACTTATAGACTACATATGTTAGAAAGATTAACGAACAAAAAAAAACACACACACAAGAACGATACATGTATAATAGTGTAATTAGTTTGATATGGCAAACAACTCAAACTTACTTAGACAAATGGTACGATTGTTTCTGTCTGCTTGACGGTAAAGATAATGACAATGACATGAGAAGATTAGAAAATTCATCTTGACTATTGTTATTAGTTGTTTTTGTTGTTTCATCATCGTTATCATTTGTTGAAAGTATATGAAATTGTACAAAATTATTATTTGACGAAATATTAATAAGATAAAATGTTATTAATAAAGGAAAAGATTTATGTTCAGTACAAAGATGATTAATATATTGAAATGTTTGAATAGGACATGTTACTGAATAATCACTAGTTAATAATAAAGATTTTCCTATTTGAAAAGAAAAATATAAGAATAAAATAATTGAAAAAAAAAATATATATATCACCTCGTGATGTAAGAATATTTTTTGTTATTTCATTTGAAAATTCTTGAATACTAATACGAAGACTTAAATTTTTATTTTGTTTATTTACAAAACAATATAAATGATTTAATGTTAATGAAATAAGTGTATTTTGAAGTTGACAAACTAGAAACAATAGATATTATCATAGATCAATCAAAATAAACATATATATAGTCTTACTTTCACGATATTGACCAGAAAGTATAATTAATGTATTAATATAATTCGTTGTTAAACGTGTTATACATTGATTAAATATACATTCACTTATATTTATTGTCTGTTCATTACAAGTAAAGATCTGATCGAATAGTTGATTTTGCTTGTCATCTAATGGATATAAACATCGTAGACCGAGTCTAATCTAAACAATGTGACATATATATATATAAATATATATGTATATAAAATTATCATTATCATCATCAGACAGAACAATCTCTAGTGACATTATATATGTCTCAAAAGTCATTGTCAATTCGATTCGATTCTAACATAGTCATCTTTTTCTATCTTTTACTCATGCATCCGTTTCCTCATGTGTCCAGTCCAGTCAATCGATAGAGACAAAATTGAATGAATAGAGACCAATTATCATATTTAGTTACATCGGTCAGCCAAAAGGAAAAGAAGGAACTGCTGTTGTAATCGACGTCTGTATCTGATTATTGATAAGAAAAAAGAATATATATATATATATACATATATTTATTTGCGTTCATTTTTATGATTTCATAATTATTCTTTATAACATTAATTCAAGGATCATATATATATATATATATTCAATTGACAATTATCTATCTCAATGTGAGTGTATGTAACAGAAGTCACGGACTATTTGTCACACATATATATGAATTAGCCTGAAGGACTTATAACATGTATGTATATCATAACAGTCGATCGATGATGATGATAATGATTATTATTATTATTATTATCATATTTTCTTTTTCTTACTCGTGATGATGAAATAGATTTTTTTTGTGTTAATTGAGGATGATGGTTATTATCATAAATAGTAAAACTAGACGACTGAAGATGATTGACGGATGATGAAGAAGAAGAAGACGGCTGCTGCTGCTGCCGTTGTTGTTGTTGCATAAGTCCGATCGTATGCTTATGGTCATCGTTGATCATCATTCGTTATAAGAATGAATGCAGACTACAAAAAAAAAAAGAGAAAAAGACACATAGCTCTAATTTCTACTTGATTAAACTAAGCAAGAAAGAGAAGAAAAAAAAAGAAATGTGTCATCTCTTTTTTCAATATGATAGTGAATGAATGACGCAAGTAGTAGGGTTTATGTCGAACATATTGAAGTATTATAAAAGTAAATATACATCATATCTTATATATGAATTGAACATTTTCATGTCCAAGGTTATATATGATCTCTTAACTGACATATTCTTCAATTTCATTCACTAGTTTTATATAAAAGATGACTTGATTCATGTACTATGATATGTAAATATCTCATTTATGTATTTTTCTTCTGTACAAATGATACACTTGTCTTGTAACTCAGTTCCGGTATGTGTATGTCTCTACCTCGTATGCATACTAATGAATAAGATTTGTTTTTTTTTTAATTTCTTTATTAAATTAATTATAATAAATTTTATCGTTGTCTTCTCTCTAATGAGATTATCTTATTTTTTTTTTGTCGGAGACGATCATGACAAGACAAAAAAAAACAATCTAAAATAATGCTTCCTTTAATAGATGATCACAGTAAAAAAAAAAAAATCGTTTTCTTTTTTCTTCTTTCTCAATACCAATTAAAAATGAACACATGGTGTTATTTCAAATTGTCACTTGACATACGCATGACTAGACCTATAGGGGTGAGTTTGTGTTTATTTCTATTTATGGTCAATTGGAGGCAAGTGTTTTATACGTTCTGTATCCCGCCTTAATTCTACGTTTCTTAAGAGTCTATGTCAATAATTGATCTACTACTAATGAAGTGAATCTCTTACTGAAGGCTTTTTTTTTTGAATAACAGCATAGCGTGATCATCTGAGCTTCTACGAAATAATAATTAATTTTATCATACAAAACAATGTATTACCATTATGTAAGATCAATATTAAGAGTTTTATATAGCAGAAAAGAATATTTCAACCTTGATTTATTTTAGATATTTAATAAAAAAAAAAAAGAAAATGAAATCAAATGAATAAGAAAAACGTAAGGAAGCATATGTCTGTCGGAAAAGAGAAGAAAAATGCTTTTCTTCTTCGATCTACGTTTAAGTCAACATAAGAAGAAAAAAAATCTAGTACGTAGTCAGTCAATGAATATGATGTAATCAAGAAGAGTAGTTGGCCGAGCACAGCACATCCGGGTTCAAAGCATCTTTTGATTTAACGAATAGAAAAGAAAAGAATTGTGCACACACACACACACGCACAAGAAAGGAGAGGTGTCACACAAAGGACCAAACACCCAACTAATAAGCAACACATACTTCTCTCTCTCTCGTCTACTTACTTACTGAATAGAGAATGAGAGTGAAAGAAGAATGAGTATGAGCTGGTCAGTAGAATAAATATATACAATAGAATTGCTTTTTAGCTGCTGTTCATTGTAAAAGAAAATGATTATGATTTCCGCATTCAATAAAACTAACTAAAGTATAGATAACTATAAATGACTATTTTTTTTTTGTTTTGTTTTCAATGATATATAATACATTTATGAATCAAAAAAAAAAAAAAGAAAAAAGTAATTCGTTTGGTGTAAAAAGAATGTCGAGATAAACAACGATAATGATTCATTTTTAGTTCATAACCTTTCATATTCTGAGATTAAAATTAATCAGATTAATTCAATAAATTAACTTACTCCGCCTTGTTTTACTATATATATCATGTGAAGTTTTGAAGACTAGACATACATGCTGAGAAGTGTTAATAACAATAATTATAAGAAGAATGTTTAGATCATCAGGAAGTAATGCCGGTAAAGTTCAAAGAATCAAGTCTGCTCATTCATATATATATTTATTATAAGAAAAAACAGCTGACCTTGCGCGCTTATTCAATCTTTTTTCTCTTAATACGTCGAGACAATGTTCATTACTTGCGAACTATTCAACAGATAAGACACAATAATTCTTTCTTAATGATTAATATCTATATACAAATACAAACTCATCATAATCTAACTCAACTAAACATTATTGAGAATATTTCAACACGTACACAAAAAAATAGCTTACTTTGTCATATATTGATGTCTTTGTTTCATATTATTGGTAAAAAATGATAGATCAAAAATAGTGATGAAAGTAATAGAAGAGAAAACTGACGATCTTACAATAACAATTTATACGATAAGAAGAAAAAAAAAAAAGAAAGAAACAAGACAAATATTTGAATGTACAAGGTTATAGAATAAGAAGAAGAAAAAAATATATTATGGGAAGATAAAATGATGAACATTATCAAATTGGCTTCTCTTAAATTTTCGTTTTGCTCTTATAAATGCCCAAGATAATATGAATTGGATAAGAAGATATTTACATCATTAAGACAATTTAATTTTTGATTGAATATTGAATAAAGTTTTAAAGGATAAAATGGTTTAATAAAATTAAAGATATTTGATCTTTAATACATATTTATGAAATAAGAGAAGAATCATTATTGACACTGTCTCGAAATTTTCAAGGATATGATTCTCTTTTTTTTTTTTACTTACTTATTCAATAAAATTATCATTAGAATAATTCATTTAGAAAAAAAAAACAACGATAATTCATAAATTATACAAATATTTTAATATTCATCTTTACATCATATTGATTTCTACTCATCAGATGTCATGTTAAATAATATCATTCCTTATCTCTAATAATGTCAATTGTTTTATACATAGAAATTTTTCGGACACTTGAATCATATAAAACTTCTGTTCAATTTAACTGTCTATCTATGTAATGACAATCACATCATTATTATTACGTATTTCATATACCTATATATATATATGTACAAAAGACGAAAAGATTTGATATATTAATTGAAATTGAACAATATGTATAGAGAACAGTGCAATATGTTGCTTCTAGTGTAGAAAATATTTGTTTCATGAATAAAAAGAATAGTATGGATGAAAGATTCAACTATAATTGTTGTTTTTATGTATAGGATTAAGTATATATACATATATGTATTGTTTTTTTTTTGTTTTTTGATAGCATACATTAGCATTTCATAATAACTTGTTATTATTTGCTATATTTAATTTCATTTCGCAAAGATGAGAGAGAAAAATATAATTTTTATTCAAGAAAAATTCAATTATAACTCCCTGAAACATCTCAATCATAGACAACATTTTACATGTCATCATTATCACATATAACACTCTGTTGCATCAATGATTTCTTTTCTTTCTTTTCTTTTTTTATGTGTCTGTCGATAGTAGAACAGAATATATTCTCTCTCCATCTGTTACTTGTCTTTCATTAAAATCAAATAGAGAATATGCCTCTTACAAACATCTTTTACGGCAATTCAATTCATTGTATATGAATCTACTAATGAAATCGACGTAATGAATAACAAAAACAAAAATATCTAGACATTCATTATCGTTTTAAATTCATGTTAAATGTATCATAAAATGAAACAAAAAATTTTTATACAATATGTTATTTTATATATATTAATGAACTATTATAACTCTTAATTTCAACGAGACTTTTTAGTCTGAATGTCATAATCGTTTCGAGTTCTGTTACTAATACATTTCGGATGGTGGCATTTCCATATTCTGCTACATATGAAGAGTATCCACAGTATGGAACTTCTATTAATCTTACCAAGGTGCCCTTACTCCAATGACGAGAGTATTTATGTACGATCTAATTTAAATTTTTAAGTAAATTTAAATAAGTTATTTAAATTTTAATGTCATCTTTTTATGTTTTATGAATTTAAAATAATAATTATTGCCCGAGTGTGTTTACTATGAATAAATTTAATGATTGACATTCATGATGTAAAAAAAAAAAAGAGAACACTAATTATAAATAGTAGACAGTATGTTTTGTTTTATTTCAGGAATTATGACTTTTTCTTTTTTTTTTTTTTTGAAGACCTTCAATATGTTTTGTGTATTTATTCTTTTCGAATAAAAAAAAAGAATTTTTTAACCTCTTGTCTGTTCAGTATTATTCAAATAGTTGAAAGAAGAAAGAAAAAAAAATACATAATAATAAATTGTAAAACTTATAAAATAGAAAAAAAGAAAGAATTACATAGTCAACTAGATTTTTCATTCGTTTGATGGCTAGTACCAATAACATTTAAATTTTGAATATCAAGTTCAGATTGATCTGATAAAATTGATGTTGGACTAAAATTTACAGGAATTGATATTGGATGACAATGAACTTGTTCATTTATGGATGATGTTTGAAATGGATTAGATTTATTATTAAATATATTTACGATAATTGATGAATCAATATACATTGGAATATAATGTGTACCAGATGGATGTAAAACAAATATTGGTACTTTTGTTGAACTATTTTGTTTATTTATATCAGATATAGAAAATGGATTATCATTTGAATTAGATTTATTACAATTTGTTTGTGAAGATATTTGACGTTTTAACTTATCTTTTTTATCACATACAACTGAAATATTCAAAAAAAAATTTGTTAGATTCGTCTTTTTTCTTTTCTCATTATCTATTTTTAGTTATAATTCTAACCAGTTAAATTTTTTAATTCAATTTCTTTTTCTTCGATATATTGAAATATGTTAGTAAGAAGTTGTTTATCATTTGTATGTTTTTCTATATATTCATATATATCACAAATTCCATTGTAATATCCCGAACGATATGTATTAAGTTTTGATTTTGATTTTTTATCAAAACTAAATGGTTCAACTAGGACAAAAACAAAAGATAAGATTGGAAATGAAAGATTAGTTTAATATACATGATTTTTGATTTGATGATAATAAACTACGAATATATTTAATTGACATTTCAATAATTTCAGTTTTTTCAATACGACGTTGATTCTAATACGAAAAACAAACAAAAAAAATAAATAAATTTTCGAATAAATAATATGAAATAAATGAATTTATACTTCAGGTTTTTTATGAGGTATTAAATTTAATAAAATATCAAGACTACGATTCATTCGATCTCGACGTCGTTTTTCAATCAATCGATGAGATTTTGAATTCTAAAAAAACAAAAAAAATTTATATTTTTTTCATTATTTTATAACTAACTTTTATTTTAGTATTTTTCCATTGTCGATGTGTCATATGTTCATCATCTGTCGTAGCAGATTTTCGATATCTATTATAAATAAATGAAGTTAAATTTTAATTATTCATTTTATTTTATACCTTATTTGACTATTGGAATCTTCATCAAATGGATCACTATCGAATTGATTATCAATAACAATTTCTAATGTTGATGGTGATGAATGTTCACTAGATGACTTTTTATTAGCCATAATAAGTTTTAGTCTGAAAAATATCAATGATTATTTGCATCAGTTAGAAATTGTGATTTACAAAGAAAAAAAACCTTAAAAAAACATTCTTAAACATTAATCACGAGGGTTCAATCCCGTCTCGTCGAAAAATTACCTTCACCCACATCTACACTGCTTTGAAGTAAATGAATTTAACGTATTGCTTTTCGGCGAAACGGGAATCCATCATCACGAACAAGGTAAGCAAAAAAAATTCCCATGCATTGCCTTTTGTTTGTTTTCACTTAGAAAGGTAGAACGTTAAAAAAATTCAATAATAGCATAGACTTGAAAGAGATGCACGAAAGAAAATAGTAAATGTGTACATTATTCTATCCTTTCTCATTCTTTCCAAACGATCACATGATGCTAACTTTACTTAAAAACATCAGTTATTTCACTCGTATATATTACATCATAAAACATATATACATATCCTTGCATTTGATTAATAGCAAAATATGAGTAAAAGAAAAAACATAAATACACGCATATAAGGATAAATTAAGTAAATAAATTATTTATTCTATATACAACTTCTAAGAATATTTCTAAATAATAACAAATAATATCGTTCGTATTCTTATATGTTATTCGAACTATACTTACTCGAATTGAAATTATTTCATCTGTTATGATTACGAAGAAAATAGTAAAAAAAAAAGCAAAATTTCCCTCTTGCTTTATTTGTGTTTATTAAAAACCGCAGGTGTTCCGTTGTTTTTTTTTTTGTTATCTTTTTACTGTCATCAGTTTTCATTTAAACATCAGATTTTTTTAAACGTTACTATGGACAACAATGATGAATATGATGGGAAATTTTCTTTTATCAAGTTGACAGACTTACCTAGCCAAAGGACAAGTAGACGAATGACTGGTTGAAATATGTCATATGCTTTTAAAAAAGAAAGACATTATTTTTGCATCTTCTATGAATTTTTTTTTCCGTCCTTTCATTTATGTGCAGTTTGAAAGTAACAATTGTATTCTCTTGCGTTCTGAATCTGTACTTCAAGACCTTTTTTTTTTACATTTTAGTAAAAGTTATTTTCAGTATTATAAAAGTATTTCATACGTATTTATTTAATGAATGATAGAAAAAGAAAAAAAAACGACTAAAAAAAAATTTTATATTATTTGAAATCAATTAGTTCATTGTTACTTTTAAAAATAATAAATTAAGAATAAAATGATTTAAGAGTTCATTTTTTGTTTTTATGAATTTATTTTAAATTGAAAAAATTTTTTATAAATTTGATCTTTTCTAAGAGTTTGTGTAAGGTTAAAAGATTACGAAGTAGTCATAGGCAAAAAAAAATATATTTGAGAATCTATCGAAAGTAGTTCGAATGGTAAAAACAAACAAAAATGATTTCTATCAATTCTTATAAGTAGTGTCTTTAGAATAGAATTTTTTTTTTTTTCAAACATAGAATCTATGTTGAATTGTACGTTGTTATGAAAAATAGGTTAGATTTATATATTGATTTATAAATTTCGATGAAAACTGCATTATTACTTTAATCGTTTTAGTTGTTTGAATCCGGTATAGTGCAATAAATAAATTTATAGTATGTCTTTGTCAATAAAATCTTACATTAGAGAGACTAAAAACACAGCAATGTCAAAATGACTCTTCAATAACTTTTAAGATATGGATTAGAATCAATTCTCTAACGTTTTTTTCCCTTCTGTCAATTGTTATTTCGTACATAAAATTTCTTTTCTTTTTTTCATTTGTTTTTACCTGACTACTGTTGATATGTTAAAAGTGTTGAGTCAAATCTTAACGACAAATAAAATGATTCACTATGTACATTCGAACATAAAATATGTTGAAAGATAGAAAAATAAAAATTACAGTTATTTAAAAAATAGAATCTAAATGTTATATGTTCATAATACAGTGTTCCGTTTCAAGAAAATTTTTGGATGAAAAGTTAGAAAATTTGCTAAAAAAAAATCAACAGAATTCGATATAATTATAGATATACGATTATGTTTACTTAATATTGAACTATGAGAAAATAATTGCTTGAATCGTATTTTTAACTATGAATCTGAAGTTCAAACTTTTACTTTATATGAAAAAGTATATTGTTTTGTTTCTTTCATAAACAACAGCAACAAAAAGCAAAATGATTTAGGGAATTCACTTGGAATTTTTCTGCTTCTAAAATTCGATCAATTTTGCTAAGTATACGTTTGCTTATTGTTGATGCAGGTGGAATGGAACTTAGTATTAGTACCAAACGTCATAATTGTGGATACAGATATGAATGATATTTTTCATCACGGTAATACATGTTCATCTTTTTGATAGTTCATTTTCTTTTCTATATATTCAATTACTTCATCATATAATTCCTCATCATCTGTAGATGAATTTTCATTGCTATACATTTATACATATATAGCAGTTTGAATAAGTAGAAATATTTTGAAAAGTTGAAATCTTGTTATTTGCTGGGTCAGGTGCCCGGTTGTAGGACACTAATAGGAAGAGGAAACTTATTTCGATAGCAGGAAATTTTTGTTGTACCCAGTAGAAATTGATATAAATGTGTAGATGTGATGCAACATGTGTTATTAAATTCATCTCACCGAGATCTATCAAACTATATGTTGTACTTTTAGTTTATATCAATTATTAATAGGTTCTAGAAAAATGATCTCGGCGATTATCATGATTATGCAGAACCTCTGTATCTCCGTCGTCTTTATAGCGGTAGTCAGAAACATTTTTCTTTTTTTCGACTATTTCCGTATAAATGGCACAATGAAATTATAAAACATCGAAAGGAGAATGTCGAAAACAAAAAAGAAAACCCTTGTAAATTCTAGATGAAATACTTTTTCGAAGTTCTGCCGACTGGAATAGATTACGACAGGCATACCCACAACATTGAAGTAAAGAGTAATGGTAATAGGGAGCTGCGGATCCACGCTTTTGTGGGTTCGGATCCGGTTGGGTTCAGATTTGGAAAGACCCGCAGCTTTCTAGATAGCAAAATCTAAAGCTCGGAAGGAGTTTGATTTTCGACATTCAACTACCAAACTTACCTTTTATTTTGTTGAATTTATAGTGTCACGATGTATAATATGCATGTGAATATACGATAAATTTCAAGGTGTTTTATAGAAATATTGACTAAAAAAACAAAATTATTTGATAATGATTCATGTTCGTGTTGTTCTGTTTTCAAGTTGTGATCATTGTATTGAATTTCTGACTGAATGTTGAGTATGACGAAAAGTTTCAGTTAGAATGAATGTGTTTTTCTTGATATATCATATCTTAAACGAATATGCAAAATTTTAGAAACAATTTAGGAAACTCATCTTTTCTTGTAAATCTTTTATTTGAGGAAAAGTATATTCGTTCTAGTTGAAATTTTTGATGTATGATAGTATTTATAAGATCCTCTTAGTGGACAAAATTTCAGATCGAAATGATGTCATTGAATTTTTTTCTGATATATCCTGAACTACTAGGCTATAAACTCAGTATAATAGTCATAATTCAAGAAGAAAGCAACAAGGCCATGAAGTTTTGTCTACTCACAATCGACTCTATTCCATGACATAAACCTCGTATCGACAGCTTTTTCTTAATTGGAAAGCTTTCCTCGTTATACCAATATTATAATCTAAAAGAATTCGGGTTAGTCGTTACAGATCGCCGTAAATTATCACAACGGCGGGTTTTATACTATATTACTGACCTTGTATTTATGAGAAAATATGGCTTTGTTAACGGGTAATATTTTCAGATGTGGATCATACTCTTAGACCTAGGAAAGTTGTAAAAGTCATTACTTAAAACTGAGAATATTGTTCACGACTAATTTTTATTATTACCATTACCGATATTCAATTTTACTAATTAGTATTAAAAAGAAAATACTTACGCAATCGATTGATTCTTTCCTTTGTCTGACTCTTACTAAACTAAAGATCATAAGAAAACAATTTTAAAGATGAAATTATAGATTTTATATCGATATAATCCAAATTTGCAAGTCAATTGTTATATTGAATTGTCTAATAGAAATATTTTTTTATAGAATGCTTATTTATCGTCGAATGAATTACCAATAGTACTATAGAACAACATTAAAAGAAATATAGATCAAAAATAAATAGTATGAAAATCGAAACAATTTTATTGAATAGAAAAATTAATGAAAAATCAAGAAATAGATATATTAAATATAAAAGAGTACTTGTAAAAACTGCAGATACATCCGGACATCTATGATTACCTTGATTTTAATTGTAAAACATAACAATAGTCATCCTGATATTTATTTGTAGAACATATTGTTTAATTAAAAATCAAAATATCAGCTTGCATATTCACAAAAAAAAGGTCATATTCCAAGTGAAAACTAAACACTGTTAGCGAAATCTCTCCGAAATGAAAATGTGAAACACGGTGTAGTTGACATTACTAATCATAGGAAGATTATTTTATTCTATTTATTTTGGGACATATTTCTCTATCAGCTTTTTATTTAATGTTCCAAAAACGTAATAAGGAAGTAGTTCATATTATATAATGACACGTTCGGTCTTCGATCGCTTATCAATAAAGTTTGTCAAAGTCTATAACGAGGGAAGCGGGGGAGGACGCTACTGAGGTATCTGTCACGCTCGGTGAAGTTTTTATAGGTATGTTTATCATAGTGCATGACGAAGAACTCGCATTGTTGAGGACGTCTGTGATGAGCCGTTCGTAATGTATCTCTGACGGCCAGTTGGTATGTTCTGTCTTAGTCTATGGGGGGAAGCGGGTGGTATGAATTTCTACCCTACACACTCCAAAACCCCCTTTAGATCGTGTTTTACAAAAGTACAGTCTAAAATGGATGTCCATATAATATTTGTTTTGAACTCTATCGTGTTTTGTGCAGTTTGGTCTGTGTCAGTGAATATCTGCAGTTTTTACAGGCACTTAATATGAACACATGAAAATTAAAATTGTGTAAAACTCAATTTTTTGTTTTTCGTCCGAACATTAATCATGGACGTTGTTTTAAAAACAATTAAAATTTTACAAAAGAAAATAATAAATAAACTCTTAACATAAAACTTTGTCTAAATACTGTTCTTCCAATAAAAACAATATGTAAATTGACATTGTGTATACACAATTGCGAATTTATTTTGTTCCTATTAGGATAGAAATCGTCTAGATTCAGATTGAATCGCATTATTAATATCGCCATCACTAACATTATCATTACACTCCATAGTACCATATTGAGCTTGTGTAATCAAATGAAACTAATAGTAGAAAAAGAAAATATTGAAAAAAAAGCAAAACAAAACGAAATCTTTTTTTCACATACTGATGCACTAAACTCAATAGGACTTTCTGAACGAGCTATAGCTTGTTGTTGTAATTGAATATCAGCAACCATTTCACGTCCTTGAATAGTAACATTAGCACGTTCAAGAGCAGCAGGAAATCTAATATCATTTGCAATTTCATTTAATCGTTGTATTATCTCATTGGTCAATGATCGTGTACTATTAAGTATATTTGCTAAATTTTGTCGAATAAATTCACTAATCGGTTCATTTTCAATAAAAGTAGGTTTTGTACCATATTCATCTGCAGTATCATCATTTGATTCATTTTCAAAGAAATATTTACTCACTGAATTTGGAATAAACGTTTCATTTCCAATGAGATATACTCGAATTGGTGAAAGATTTTTTACATAATTACAAAGAATATCTGCATATGGATTTTCATAAAAATTACTACTTGTATTTGATGATAAATAATCATAAATTGTACAAATTCTTGGTTCATAATCACCACATAAATCATAACCTAAAATTAAAAAACACAAAAATAAATTATTTTACAAATAAAGGTTTTAACTATTAATTTACATAAATGTATAAGACGTTCTTGAAAATCAAATAAATTTTCATCATTTGTATTCAATGGAATAATTAATACATGACAAGCATTGATCTAGAAAATTTTTTATTGATATTTTTAAATCTAATTTTAAATAATTAAATAATACCTTTCCATTGATAAAACGTTGTTGTTTAAAAAATTTAGCTTTCTCTTTAAACATAAATGCAGGAGCTACTTGATTCAATGCGAGTAATTTGTTATATCCATCTTCAAAAAATTGAACAACACTTGACTTAATTTTATATGCCATAAGTTCTTTGACAACAGGATAAACATTATCACCATGAAATATTAAATTAGATCTCGGATTTATACATATAAAAATAGCTAATATATGACGTTGTATTCTGAGATCTTCTAAATCTACATGTGAATTTTGATCATTTAAATCCAATAATAGAATAAAAGTATATGAATTCGAACGAGTAATTACATGATTTTTAAGCTCGTTAATATTAGAAAAAGTTTGATGATCTATCCCAGGAAGACATATTGCCGTAGATTGAGTATTAGTGGATGAACGATATTCTGCTATTTGAAGATCGAACAACATTCTCAATAAAAACTTCTAAAACAAAATAGTTGAAAAATATAAAACTTTTTGTCGTTTGTTTTGACATAAAAACACAGGTTTCTTTGATAGGAAGTAAAAGAAAAAAAATCTTTTACGAGTGATTCATACATGTTGGAAAAACAAATATTTTTTTTGATTTGTTGGTTTTTGCCAAGTTAAAATATAAAGCAAAGTATTTTAATGTAATAATCTTTTTAGAAAAAATGAAAATATAATTTTTGAAATTTTCATCTTATAGATGAATCAATCTGACTTCTAATATTGTTTTATACAAATCAAAGAAATACTTTTTATTGGTTTATGTTATCGTATGACCACTTTTATGAGATATTTCTTATCGCAAAAAAAATAAAAAGCAAAATATTCTTCGATACCTATATTTCGAACTTTGATTAATAATTATTTTTTTTTGCCATGCTTTTCTATTATCCTTGGATAGAGCTTATTAAGTTACCTTTAATATTGTTGTTTTTTTGATATATTCATACAATATTTTTGTTTTTGGTAACAAAAATTTTGTTGAAAAAAAAAAACGTCAGAAGAGCGTATGAAAATTTAAATACGCCAAAAGCATCAAATTTCGACGACATCAATATTTATGTGAGGTGTGTTTGATTTTACTCATCATATATTAAGAAAAAAAAAATTATACATGTTTCTTGAAAAATATTGTTTGATTGTTAAGAAAATCAATTTTTTTGACATGATAGTAAAACGTCATAAATAGGAGTTTATACGTAAAGATTTTAACGATTAGAACTTCAGTTACGAATGAAGTGAATATCATATTCAGAATCAACACGAAAATTTGTATCTAATAGTATACTCAATACTTAAAAATAACTTTGATCATATTGCGATCTTAGATGAAGCCACAGATGACAGTATTTGAAAATAATAGTGAGGTGTAAGGACCGAAATTTGACGAGTTTATTTTTAAGTATTGAACATACTAATTTTCGTGCTGATTCTGAATATGAAATTAGTTTAATTTGACACTGAAATTCACAAGATCAAAACACTCTGAATACAAATCTATATTGATGACATTTTGATATTACATCGAAAAAGTCGATTTTCTTAACAATCAAACAATATTTTTCAAAAAGCATGGATCTTTTTTTTCTTAACTCTATGGAATTTACTTTTTCCTTACAAAAATCTTTTTCTATTCATTTATCCTATTTTATTGTACATTTCATAGTAGCTTCTTTCCTGGAGATTTGAAAGATTTTGAGAAAGATATATCATAGACAATATTACAAAAGTTGAAGTATAGTTGACATACAAGTGATCCTTCTATTAGTTTAATCTTTCGTTAGACCGTAATGAAATACTTGAATTTGTCGACTTTTGAAATATTGACTACAATATATGGTTCCAAAAATCTTTGGAGTATTTAACAAAAACAGAAAAAAAACGAAAAACATGACTTTTTCTAACCTTCTGAAATGTGAATCGGATCAATTCATATAATCATCAATGCGATCAGACTATAGATTTTAAGAGTA